CGTCGGACTCCTCCGACTCCTCCTTCACCGCCTCTTTGGCCGGAGCAGCAGCAGCAGCAGCGGGGGCAGCTGCCTCAGCTACCACAGGGACGGCTGCCACAAAGGCAGAGGGGTCAGCCAGGAAGGCCTTCACCTGCAAAAGAGAGGGGAAAGGTAAACTTCAAAGGAAACAAACATTCTGAGTGATTGAACCTTTGTAATCATAAAGGCAATGAGTGCAAGCTGGCCAGCAGTGAAACGGATGCACTTATCACTGCCAGGTATAAGGAATCGGATATCTCAGCTGCACTCCAGCCTATAAGCCTCAGGGAGGAAGGAACGCCACGGAATCCAGCTTCCCACCGTCTATATGCAACATATGGAAGCACGCGCCCCTTTTTAGGACAGGTCCTTTGCGCACAGGCAGGTCTGTGTCCTTTCAAACCAGGCCAGGTGAAGTGTTTCCAAGTGCCTGGCTGCCTTTAACACCTCTTGAAGCCGTTACCTTTTCAGCCAGAGGGAAGGTGTAGTCCGTCTCCACCGCCACAGCCAGGACCCGCTTGTACCCATTGACAATGGAGTGGGGCACAGAAGCAATGGTCGGGTACCCAATTTGCAGGCAGACGCTGGCAACATTACGAACACCCTGTGAGGAGAGACTCATGTTTCCATGCTCCGAGAAGCAACCTGGACTAAAAAACACATTTCTACACTGCCATCATAATGACAGATAGCGTGCAAGGCACACAAGTAACAAAGCTCCAGTGACATTAGACAAGCATCAAGATTTAAATGGCTTTTCTGAAGAAGTTTCAGCTGAAAAAGCCTACAGAAGGTACTCCCTGATGGACTGTTTTTGCAGGGCAGCAGGGATCGCTCCCAGCTCTGCAGAAGCTTGCACAGCACACCAGACGTGACACTTGACTGCCAGAGCAGTGAGGCAGAGCAGCAGAATACAGCAGATCTGGGTTGTGGCACCCACCTCCAGGAAGCGCTTGTGCAAGGTATCCTCGGTGATGTCCAGCACTTCAGGATTGTAAATGCTGCCATTGTCAAAGACCTGCTGGATCACCAACCCGAAAGAGAAGGGGGAGATGTTCAGCATGTTCAGCAGGGTGGCTTCGCTGGCACCCACTTTGTCTCCAGTCTTGATGAGCTGCACATCGCTCTGAGAAAATAAAGGGAAAAAGAGTGAGTGTGTGCAAAGAAATTCAGGCACATCAATGCAACAGGATGCACATTTCCAACAGCACGAGATGAAAGTGAAGGAACAAATGAGCACAACAAAAGCAGGCTCAGAGTTCAGCTCCACAAGATGAGAAAGCCCGAGACATACAAGGAGGTACATCTCAGCTGGGAGAAAGGCAGTGCCCTGCCTGCATCGTGCTCCTCCAGCAGAGCCTACCTACACAGCCAAGATCACAGAATAGTTTGGGTTGGAAGAGACCTTCAAAGGTCATCTAGTCCAGAAAGAGAACTTAAATCCCCCCTGCACTACATCCTCCTTCATGCTGCCAACGCACAGCAGATACTGATACACTATTTTCAGCCCTAATGGGAGCTTTGATCTTTGACCCCCCTCAGCTGCCACAACTGGGGCCCTCGAGCCAAGGCAGAGCTTCAACAACAGCAGTGCACTGCTCACTAACCAGAATTTCAATGGTTCCTCTGGAAATCTTCGTGGTGATGCCCAAGGCCTGGAAAAAGGAGGTCTTCTCAGGTCCAAGACCAGTGTTCTGGGCCGGCACAGTCACATCACAAGGAGCAATAGCACCAGCACGGGCAGCAGCTGGCACCTGGAAAAAGGGGAAATGAGAAGCTGGAAATATGCTCACCTCTCAGATGTGGTGGAATGGCATCTACTCCTTCCTGAAGTTCCTCTAGGATGGACAGCACCCAGGCACGCACACAGGAGGCAGCTGAACTTTAACAGTTTGGCTAAGGCTGCAGGAGCCTAGTTCCCAAGCCCTGAGGGCTTCTGTCAAGCAGGCATCCCCCAAAGACTCAGTTCTATTTTAATTCCCTATCTGCCAGCCCAGAGGCGCAGTGAGGGCTGATCTCCCCTACCTTGTTAGCCAGCAGCATGTCCCGGATCTCAGTCAGATCCTCCTTGGTGAAGACAAAGCCCACGTTCCCCCGGATGTGAGGCAGCAGCCTGAAGGAAAGATGACAGCCTTCAGTTCTGCTTCTCAGACAACACCCTCTCCTCCCAGACAGGGGATCCAGAAGCACACTTTTACCCACTTTTCCAAGGCAGGGTTATTCTCCAGATGACCACGAATAGCTTTGCGCATCATCGTGTTCTTCCCCATCAGCACCACAGCCTTCCCACGCAGTGACATGCGGATTTGCTGCATCTGCTTGGATCCCACATTGTCTGCTCCCACAATGAAACATTTTGGGTAATCATCCAGGAGTTGCTATAGCAAGAGAAACACTGTCACTATACAATCTGGACCAGTGCACAGAGCAGCATCAAAACCTCAACACGTTAAAATGTAAAGCCAGAATCTGTCAAGTTTGAGAGTGCTGGGCTCCCACTGACGCTGGGGGCACAAGGCTGCACCTTTCTCTCAGCTATCTAATCAGATCCCTAAACAAGTTATCTCTGCAACTGTCAGGGCCAATTCTCACAGCAGTCTCAAACCAGTCTGACCTGGGCAGTCCTAAGCACCTCCTATTACCACGTAAACGCTTTCCAAACAACCAAACTAAGGCACCCCCCCTTTTATTCAGGATAACCCCCGGGCAGTCCCTCAGCCCGCACAGCGCCAGGGCCGCGCCGACACTCACGATGATTTTCATAAAGTAGTTGGATTTCCAGGTAGCCCTGTCTTCCCTGGGCATCGCGGCGGTGCTCCAAGGATCGCCCAGTGGGTTTAAAGACGAGCTGAGACCTGCCAAGGAGAAGCGCGGCTCAGGCGCGTCCGCACCCTTCCTTCCCGCCGCCTCCACCCCAGGGCTCCGCGCTTCCCCCAACACCCGACCCCCGCCCAGGACCAAGGGTGCGCTCTGGAGCCGCTCCCGGTAGGGCCCGGCTACACCCCGGATACCACCCGGCTACGCTCCCGGCCCGGCCCGGGCCCACGGGAGCCGCCACGCCGCGCACCCACCTCCACGAGGGCTCCGGGAAAGAAAGGCCGCAAGGCGGGCCCACCTCCTTTTATACCGCGGCTTGTGGCCAATCGCAGCGAGCCGCGGAGCAGCCTCCGCTCAGCCCATTGGCTGCCCTCCGCCTGTCAATCAGGGCGGGCCGCCGCTCGCCGTGCAGGAGGCCGCGCGGCTCGGCGCAGTGCGCCCCCTGGGGGCTGGAGGAGCGCATCTACACCGCACTACAGCATCCCTTAAGACGACCCGCTTTGTTCCCGGCTTCCTACAAGTTAGAAACCACCACAGCACACAGGTGAGAATAATGGTACCAATTTTATTAGTATAACTGCAAGAATTTTAAATGGAAAAAAAAAAAAGCAAAGTTAGATGTTTACAGGGGAGAAAAGACATCAAATAACCACGGACCCAGCGGAGCACCCCCAGCCCGGCCCCGACGTGCTGTGAAGGACCGGCCCCAGGGCCTGCACTTGGTGCGGGGGCTGCAACATGCCCTCCTCCCTGGCTGCTGGTGCAGTGCCATGGCTACGCTGCCCTAAAACTGCATCCCAAAATCAAATGTCAGGCCATTCTGGACACCCACAGCGGTGGCAACAGCCACCAGAATTCATTATATTTGGCAAAGTAGCACCCGTGTAGCATCGCAGCACGTCAGAAACCAGGTAAATCCAGGACAGGCTCAACACCTTGCTCTGGAGGTGAGTGTTCAACACTGTTAAGCACTCACAACAGATGAGCCTCCCGTTTGGCACTGTGCACCACCGGCACCCCCCGTGGCACCCAGGGCTTTCCACGCATGCCAGATGCATCCCTTAACACAAGCCTCAACTGGCAGTGAGGTAGGTTAAAGACTCCCCGGACAGGGAAACTGAGGCACACGGTTACACAGTTTGCAGGTCTCACACAAGTGGTAGTGCCAGAAACATCTTCTCGCCCCTCTCTGCCCCCCCCCCCCCCCCCCGACACCAGCTCTGTCCTCTCAGCAGGGCTGAAGGCAGTTGACCTTTTCGGTGAGATAAACTCATGCAACTTAGAAACATTGGAAGTCAAACCCACTTCAGAAATGGAAAGACAAATGTGTCAGGTTTCTTGCCCTGCAAACCCTCCCCAGCTGATGCAGCATTGGCACTAAGGGTTCCGCAGCTTCCCTCAGTCTCAAAGCACAGACTGAGGTTCATTTGTGTGGGGAAACGTCAAAACCAGTTTCAGTGACCTGAGCTGGACAGTGAAGCACTGTGGAAGGTTACACAGGGCAGTGACCTGCAGCTTCTAGCCTAAGGTTGGGCTGGTTTCTGACACAGTTCCCCCCAGACCCCTAAATGCACCCACCAAGCTGGTACCACAGAACACCATCGGGTATTTCAACCTAATACTTCACTTTTCATAGCCCCCTCCAGCCAGAGACCTAAAAGTGCTTCAGCAAACGTGAACTAAGCCTCACAACCACCTCACAAATCCAGGCTAAACTGCCCCCATTTTACAGGTGGGGAAACAGAGGCACGGTAAGGTTTAGTGACTGGCCCGAAGTTACACAGCTAGTCAGGAAGAGAGTCTGTCTCTCCCAATGTCTTCTCCTTAGGCACAAAAGGAAGCCCTTTCCCAGTCAGCCCTGCTCTGGTTTCCAGGGGCTGAAGGGGAGAAACCAAGGGCAAAGGTCTGAGCTCTTCCCCCCTGCAGCATCGTATTAAGACTCACTCTAATGGAAGCTGGGCTTTGGAAGAATGGCAGGCGATTCAAATACAGCAGTTTACAGGTTGCAATGAACCCCAAAACACACACTTTCAGGTGACTGGGGGTGGGAGCTATTCACAGTTCACCTGCCTGTGCTAGGAGAAAAAAACCCATACAAGTCACATTCCCTTCCCCATAAGATTCCAGCCCCTCCCAACCCGCAATAAAAAGAAACTACTGAATGTTAGTTAGGCTTAACAAAGCATTGAGGTTACAGATGCAGTAACCAGCACAACTGGCACACTGCCTAGACCAGCACAGCTTGATATAAAAGTTGCTTTCTTAAAATCACTTCAAAATCAATTTCCATATAAGAGGATTAAAAGTAAATTAGATATGAATTCAAAATCAGTGTAGAAATCTACAATTCTTATCAAAGACAGGATACAGTATTTGGTTGGATAGTAAAACCCCAAGTGTGTCACACACACCTGACCCAAGGGACGTGTTATACCAGTAACAGTCAGTATAAAAGGTTATTGCTCTAGCATCTCTCAGTAGAACATGTTTAACAAGAGCACAGGAAAGGAAAATACCATGGGGCTGACAAGTCTCATTAGCAAAAGAGAGGAAGAAGAAAGGATATAAAGTCTGGATCTTTTTTTTCCTGGCTTCTTAAACCCTCCACTTCTCCCTGCTCTTGTGATGGTTTCAGGCCCTGATAGGGGAGAGTTTCAGGCCAGATAAACACACACACGTCACACACTCGTGACAGGGATGGGTGAAAAAGGCTGTGCTCTAACCTGTCTGCTCCTGCTTTTAAAGCAGGGATGATGATGCTTCCTCCTGGAAGCAGCAGGCAATGGGAGCAGATGCCCTGAGCAAGCCTGGGTGCTGACAGAGGTGTCTGGCATAGGATGTCACCCACAGGAGCGCACATCAGTGCTAAGGGATGGCTGGGGCTTACTCCACCTCCTGCTCCAGTGTGTTGAGAAAAGGCAGGGAATAACAAACTAGGGGGGGGAAAGAAAACAAAACAAACACCCCACACAGTAACACCTTGATTCCTCTTTAAAAAAGAAATAAGTGGTATCATATCCTTACAGTGTAATGGAACTGGAGAGACCCTTGCAGGGTCTTGGCTGCCTGTGCTGATGCTCTGATCTCAGTAAGTCACACACCCCCCTTGGCTCTAGTGAGCAGAGATCTGAGGGTGTCACTGAGATCACAGGGTGCCCTCGCTGTGCTATTGCTCAGCCTGCATGCACGCAGACTAAAGCCTGAGAAAGGTGTCAAAGCAGAGGGCTGTGCTGTCTGCAAGCGTCACCATTTGCTCAGGAAGCTGACACAGGCTGAAATGTACTGGCAAAGACTCCTTCTGCCAGGAGGGGGCTGGGTAAAATCTCCCTGTTGGAGCCCTTGAGCTAAGCTCAGCTGTCAGTCACACACGCAGACTCACACCATAATGAGGGATCTCGGCCTCTCTCTACTGAGACACAGCAAGGGCATTTCCAGTTTAATGGTCCGTCTCATCTCTGGATCTACTGCCTCTCATAGCAGCAGAAAGCACTCCCACCCACCCCCACCCCACCCTCCTCCCCTGCCTGGTCAGGTTTCTAAATCACAGTAATGTTCAGAGAGATAGAACTGCCAAGGGGGTGGCAGAAAGATGCTTAGCGCCCGTCTATGATGCCTCTAACAGAAGAGCTTGAGAAAGCAGTTCTGGCAGTAGGGCTTGTCGTTCTGTTCTTTGAAGGTTCCTTTGTTGAGCTGCTTGAGGCAGAAGGCACAGACAAAGTGTTCGGGGTGAAATTTCTTGCCCATAGCAGTGATGCAGCGTCCTGTGATAGGCTTCTGGCAACCGGAGCAGAGCGAGCCGCGGCGCTCGTGGTAATGCACCTCGCAGTAGGGCTGCCCGTCATGCTCGAAGAAGCTGCCATTGATGAATGGTGTGAAACATTCCTGCAGGAGGATAAAGCACAAGGGGAAAGATTGTGTAACTGGGGATGCAGGCAGCTCCTCGAGCCTCCTCTGCTCCGTGGCACAGCCTAGCTGTACTGTGGGCAAGGTGAACTGCTGCCTTTCAGCATTGTCCTGTTATCCAAAGAGCCAAACCCTGTCCATCAAGATTTTCCAAGGAAAGGCTGACAGGCAGTTACAGCCACAAGCAAGGGCATTCACCACGCACCTTCCCCTAGCTCGTTTCACTTCTGCAAGGAAAACGCTACAGATGAGCTACCAGGCGTGTCCAGGCAGGAGAAAGGAGAACACTCCTTCCCCTGAGATGGGAAACACTGCAGCACCTTTCCCTGCTGGGTTTTGTTACACTGGGATTTTTCTGTTTTATTTTTTAATCCCACTCCAGCTTCCCCATAATGGCAGGAGAAGCAGGGACCAACAGAGACTTTAATGGAGCAGAATTCTGATGAATGTGGGACTGGTTCCAGCTGAGAAAATGAGGCAGAGTTAATCTTCACAAATGATGTCTCTGGAATGGCTGTCATTAGACAGGAACACTGCAGGATCATCAAACCTGAAACATCTCCACCAGGTACATACACACTGCTACTGGGAGAAACTTAGTTCTACGGTGCTAATGATATTGAGCAGATGAGAAGAGGATACACCAGCTACGTGCTTATTAGTGCCCAGAGCTCCTCACTCAGTGCCAGGCAGCTGAGGATGCTACACTTCAAAACTTGCAACAGAAGCATCCATCATCCCCACAGGGCTGGGGAGACTCCACTCCTTGTACAAGTGAGAAACTGAGGCAGCAGGGAGTGGGTAACAGTTGAGGATGCTGCCAGATTTACCAAATGTACCAGCAGCAAGGCCCAGAGGAGAAGCCACATTTCCAGAATCCTGGTTTTGCTGAGCCCCACCACTATCCTCTTCCCCAAGGAGAGGACAGAGTATCACACAGAGCCAGGTCCTAATGTGTACAACACAGGAGTCCAGCAAACAGCCTGCAGAGCCATGGATAGCTGAACATTCACAGTACTGGGATGAATGCAGTTTGCCTGCAGCAAGCCCCAGACTTTTCTAATGCTGACAATTAGTTCAATAAGCAGCTTCCTCCCTCAGTTAGGACAGTTGAAAAGTCTGTTCTGCTTTAGCAAAATCAGGAAGAGAATCACATCTCATGTCCTGGAAGATATCGGTGCTGGCCCCACTAGTAGAGGCTGTGTGGCAGCAGGGGAAAGAAAAGCAAAACTGCTTGACAGAAATCTCAATCTCTGCACAAAAAGGCACAGCCCTCCCCAGCCCCACAGTCAGGACTGCAGTCTTCTGCCTCCACCCTCTGCACACCACCACAGGGGTCACAGACAGTCCCAGCAGCATGGTGACAGTCTGCTTTGAGCATCACACCAGGTCTCAGCAGCTCATGGTTCTGGCTGCTTGTTCTGGTCTCTGCCCTTCTTTCCTACCCTAGGAAACACTGGTTGATTTTGCCCATCTCTTGGGGCCTGTAAGAGTTAATATTTGCAGTGCTCTCTGAAAGAGTGCCAAACATTTAATCTGCAGTATTCCTGTTTATTATGCCTGTTGTATGGAGCCTGCCACTATTTCACGGACTTGCATGTTTGTCTGAGCAAGGTCAGTCTCATTAGTTTACATTGTCAGATGGAGCATGGGAGGAAGATCCTCAGAATCTGATTGCTGAGGCAAGTGCTTAGAGAGAAGCTTAGCTTATAATTATTTAAAGGTCACAGAAAATGTCTCTGTTTATCTGTGAGCTGCTGCAGAAGCCCGTAATTCCAGCTGGGGACAGAAAGAGCAAAACAGTAAGAAAGTTTAACATAAACAGGCAGAGGAACAAGAAGGTGTTTGGTTGCTGACATGTTTTTATCTTGTGGGGCTGTCTGTCCTTCACTACCCCAGTCGCCTCTTCCTGGTAAGGGACCAGATGCCTGCAGGGTGGAAATGAGAAGGGTCATACAGCAGCAGCAAAAGACCTTGTGTTTCTTACCCGACAGACAAAGCATTCAGGGTGCCACAGGGTGTTCAAGGCAGAGATGTAGTTTTCCAGGATAGCCCGGGCACAGCCTCCACACTTGGGAGCAAACATATCAAAGTAGTCCTTGCGGCAATAGGCTTTGCCATCCTTCTCATGAAATCCTGCCAAAGAAGAAAAGAGGCACAGTGCATCAGTTCCTCACCTCTACCTATGGCCAGCCAAGCTCTGAGGGGTAGCCGGTGTGGGTAGGATCATCCTCCCCCGGCTAACACACACAGCGAGTTCCTCATTCTGCTGCCCTTCCTGTCCCATGTGCACACAGGCACATGCATACTCTTCCTCCCCCAGGGAGAAAAGATTACTGGGAGCATCTTTTCCCCATAAACAGCTATAGCCCCTGGGACTTCCATCTTCAGTAGTTCCCCTGTCATCTCTCAGGCTGTCCCCTAATAGCAGCTCTGCTTTACACACTTGTCTGAGTTCAAGGAGGACATTGTTTTCCCCTTACATAAACCAGCAATACCTTCAGGTCCAAAGAAAGCTCCACACTGGGCACAGAAAAAGTGTTCCGGGTGCCATGTCCTGTCCAAAGCCGTCACCACTTTCTGTTCAGAAGAAGACATAAAGTGTAAGTTGTGTAAATGATGGCTTCAGCTTGGAGGTGAGTAAGGAGGGGCTTGGGGGGAAGGGGGGGGGGGGAAGAATGGTGGTGCTGACAAGAGTATGCATTAAAACAGACTGTCCTTTAGAGAGCTGAGTCAGTTCTCCCCTGCCTCTGGCTCGTTCAGGCTTTCCCCACTGCACACTTTTTTTACCCTAAAAGGATCTTAGGCTCTGCTTCCTCCCTTATACAGGGCCCCATCCAGCTCTTATAGCACTGGTGCCTGTTACTACAGGCTACCAAGAGACAAAATCATTACTAGAATGATGTGGGGCTCTGAAGGAACTTCAGTGAAGGTAAGAGGGATTAACTCCTCTCACTGGTGTAAGAACTGGACTGAGACAAGTTGTTCCCTTTCAGAGCCAGGGTAAAGGGAAAAAGTAAGTCCCCAAACAAAATCTTCCACCCAGGACACATTGGTGGAGTGGAGTTTTTACCACCCAGGCCTGCAGCACCTTGCCAGCACCCTTAATCTCCTCAAGGAACTCACATCAAGGATCGGCCCATTGCAGTAGTAGCAGCGAGGGGAGAAGAGGTTGTGATAGTCCTTCTCACAGTAGGGCTGACCATCCCGCTCAAAGAAGTTTCGTGACCCAATCTCCTCCTGGCAGTGGGTGCAGACAAAGTGCTCAGGGTGCCAGGTTTTCCCCATGGCTGTAACAACCTGTTGGGAAGACAAATTATGAAGGACAACTCCATCTCACTCTCCCTTAGACCACACGACAAGATACCAGCTGGAGATCAGCAAGAATGACAAGTTCTACTACTCAAGTGAGCCCTGGACTGGGGTAGCATGAAAACTGAATTACCTATCATCTCAGGAGAGGGCAGTCCCTCAAGGGCAGGGTAGAGGTCACTGGAGGAGCTTACAGCGTACCTAGCCAGTGGATAAATAGAGTACTTCAGTTTCTCCAGCATCTCCAGTCTCTTCAGCCTCACGAAACAGCCCTCCCCATTACTCCCAGCTGCAGCCCAAGATCCAGCAATGAGACAGCACCTTCAACTCACCTGCCCAGCAATAGGCTTCTTGCAGGCTCCACAGACACCTTTGGCAACTGTAGCTACACCCAGTTTGTTCAGATCAGACTGCAGGCTTCCCAGCATGGTGTCCAGCTGACTGCCAGGCTTGGAGGCTGTGGATGGAGGGGAGCTGCTCCCGGCTTTCCCCTGCGCCATGAACTGCAGGGAAGGGAAAACAAAGACCATAAGGTGAGTGCTGCTGTGCTTACAAGATAAATGCCTGCTGCTGCTGCCCGTGGCTGGGTCCTCTGCAGAGAGGAGCAGGAGATTGCTAGGAGACAGCTACACTCTCTCAGAAGCCAGTGAGAGCCAGGATCAAGTACTTATCTGTATTCTGCCCATGCAGAGACATATGCAGAGACCCTGGGATGTGTAACTGAGAATTTGATTTTCCTTCACTGCACATACAGCAGAAGTCACCAGCACATCCAGGCAGTCAGCACAGTGCTCTCTAAGCCTCTGCCAAAAACCTCCCTTTACCTCATCAGCTCCTGGCCAGCTGACAAAGCAGAGACACCATCCAGAGGGCCCCTTCCCCTCAGCCTCCCTCTGTTCCTATGCTGTTGCTCACTCTCAGTTGTCACTCTCTCCTTTTTGATGGAGATCCCTCTTCCTTCACCTCCCTTTCAGCTAGCGTAATCTTCTCTCTTCCCCTCCCTCCCTCTGCACCACCTCTGCAGACCTTTTTGCCAAGTCTCCTTGGCCCCCATCAGGTGGCTCTCATCCCACGCCTGAGCTAAGCAAGTGGAAGCAGGAAGGGAATAACTCCCTTCAAGTTGCCTGCTGTTTACCTACAGAGAGGGCAGTGCATCCGCAGCAAAGCCCAGCAGACAGGACTGCAATGGAAGGACTGCCACGTCTGTTGTGGGGCCGCTGGCAGTGCATGGGAATGGGGGGAAGGGGATTAAGGGACTCGTCTCAGAGGCTGTTTCTGAAACTCACACCACACCACAGTACACACACGGCTTGGAAAGGCCTCCCAGAGGAGGGGGAGAAACGTTTTACTTGGGTTCATAACTTATAACCAAAGTACATGCTCTCTCTGGAGAACAGCCCCTTTGCAGACAAACTGCAATAATGAAACACAGATTATTTCAGCTGACTTTGCACTGCAATAGCTACTGTCAGGATCAGAGAGACCCAAAGAAGTCCTTCCCCGAGGTGGTGGTCTGGAGGACACATTTTCTCTTACTAAGAGCACAGATTAAAACACATAAAACCTACATTTGTGAACAACCCACCAGGCTCCTGCCAGCACAGCCAGGGCAGCAGGGACGTGAAGTGCCCCAGAGCCTTGGCAGAACCCGTCCTTCCAGCCACAGGAGGAGCTCTATTCTCCATCCTGCTGCTGGTTGTACTTGTAGTCAGTTTACTCAATGACAAACTCTGCTTTCTACTTGTTTGAATAAAAATCCTCATGCCATACATAACTTTAGCTGTTTTACACACACACTCCACGTCAGCCTTGCCTTGCATGCAGCACAGTTCCCAGTGGAGCCTAACACACAGCTTTTCCCCTCCTATCCCAGCCATTCCATAACTTGCAGCCTCCATCACACTCCAACATCCTGAACCTAAAACAAACTCTCAGGCACACTGTGGTCATTTGCTACCAAATAGTTATAGTGAATGTCTCCAGAGCACATCACTGCAAGGGAACTTCTGACAGAGACAACAGGCCTTTGTATGCAGAGGCAGGCCAGAGCCCCAGGACAAAGCCAGGGCTTCCTGCACAGCACAGCAGGAGGAAGAGGGCTGAATCATATCCCCTTCTCACTCTAACCAGGGCCTTGTGGCCACCAGGGAGGGCAGGTGCCCACACCACACACAAATGGAGAGAAAAGAGGCAAGATGAGTTCAACATGCAGCACCAAAGCGTTTCATCCTTGCCTGCAGGTACCACACACTCCTGCAAGCCACAGCTAACCTCAGTGCAGGTACAACCACCCATGCACACTGTAATTGCCACCTGGCCTGGCGATCCAACCTTTTTGACAGCTCATAGATTAGTCCCTACCTAAGAGGTTTGTTTCCACCTCCTGCACACAGTGCCTGCTGTTTACAGGGGACACTCAGCACAGCATCCACGTAAATCCATCATGCAAAGGCCCTTCAAATTCCTACCCTTCACCCATGAGATCTACTATCACGCCAGTTCAGCCAGGGGCTCTATGAGCAGCAAACCATGCACTACCAGATACCATCGACATTAACGGCACTGGGAGCTCCAGGGGCAGATCCCAGCAGCACTGGCAGCACACTCATGGACCAGAAGAGCACACACCATGCTAAGGAAATAGAAAGGAGGTCCTGCCTTCTCGGGGGTGGGTGGGCCCAGGGGTGCATGAGCAGCCAGCAGATTGGTACTGTGGATGAGGGGAGGAGCAGAAGTCACCTGGAAAGTACAACAGGTCAAGACGAAGAGGTCTTCATTGCTTGAGCTGCCTGTACACATAACACTGCACACCACTGCACTGCTCATCTACAGCAAGACTTCCCACCACCCTGGAGATACAGCCCTTCCCCAAGCAGATGCAGAACACAGCTCTTAATCACATCATCTCCTCCCCAAAATCTGCTTGTGCTGTGGACACCCGTCTAAACAGGCAAACACAGGAGGAGCTGCTGATTTGCTCCTTCCAGTATTGAGATTTTGCCATCTTTTACTCCTGCCACTCCAAGAGAGATCATGGCAGGGAGAACTGCAGCCTCTGTTTTGGAGCTCCCTCCTTCATCCCAGAGGAAAACAGAGTCCCTGCTGCACAAAGTGATCTTCAGGACAGACAGGAACCACACATGCCCAGCAGGTTATAACACAGACATGTACTTTGCAGTGCTAGACAGGCACAGATGGAGCTAGATATTGCCAATGAGTCCTCTCTCCTACCTAGCAGTTCAGTACCAGTTTTTTCCTGAATGTTGTATCTACTGAGCTATCAACTTGGGAGCAATAACCGAACTGGGAAACACTGCTAACAAAATAAACCAGAAGCGAGAAGCCTGCCTGAATCTGCGGGAAGAAAGCATCATCTTCAGTCTGACAGCCAACAGAAACAACTGTCTTGGTGCTAGGGGTCCAGGCCTGGGGAGAGCAGGAATGCCTAGGATCTTCAGAAGGAGGGGTGCCCACAACAGAAAGCTCATGATAATCATCATCAGAAGTTTCCCACTGGAAGAGAGGCTGGGGAGCCAAGCTAAAGGAAAAGGAGGAGACTGGACTAGGAGCAGGGTTGGACGGCACATGGGAAGGCTGAGGTGGGAATGGGAGGAGAGGTGTAGAGTCAGAGACACGAGACGGAGCAGCATTAGCAGAGATTGTAGCTTCTTTGGAAGACTGGAGTGGGGGAGAGGCAGGAACAGAGACCGTCCTCCTTGGAGGGAATGGGAATTCTGCAGGAAAAACCACCTAAAAAGACACAGAGGAAGAAGAAAGGTGAATAAACCCAAAGAGAAGAACCCACAGGCACTTCCTGCAACAGGAAGGCCGGTTGTTACCAGCATGTTTATCTAAGGGAAAAAAAGCAGCAAGAAAGAGAAGGGAACTAGAAAACATGCTTCCTTTTAGCTCCAGGAAGAGTATCATCTTACACCCAGAACTTCCTGCACAGGTACAGTACTGGGGACAACAAAGCACACCTCTGTAACAGGCTTCCCAGGGTGGTTTTAAAACCACATGTGGTTTTAATACCCACATGACATTTGACATGTGATAGTAGCATACTGCCCAAACAGATATCAGCACCCTCAGATCCTACTCCAATTCTTAAACATCAAGAACTAGGCCCTGCACGCCACTTCCCTTTGCAGGCCAGACAAAGGCAAGTAGAAAGAGTCCTTCATGTCATGTTGCTTAGGACACACAGAAACTTCACCTGCACCTCCACACAAGGCTTTCTGGACAGAGGGACATGCTGGAACTCCCCAGAGCATGCCCCTGCTTTCTACCTTCTCTACTTGCTGTCCACCATTCTGCTCTTCCCCCTGGGCTCTGGCAGTGACCCCCTCTGTCAGCCAGTCATCCTGGCCTTCCCGTTCTTCCTGCTCCTGCTTAGTGACGCCCAGTCTGTCCTGCAGCTCTTCAATCAAGCGGTCCTGGGACTCAGTCTTGTGCAATATGGCAGGGCCTAGTTTACGCCTTGGAGAGGGGTCTCGATACATTGGATGCACATTCGCTGTCTCTTTTGTCCTCTTGATTAAAGATTTAATCTAAATGACAAAGGTAATAATATCAGCAGAGAAGAGCAATGTCGGAGCAAGCCCCAAGATGCAAAAACATAAACTCAAGCCATTAGTGACAACTGTGAGCAGGAGAGTGATGACATTTATTCCATAGTGCCAAATTTCCTCTTGGCACAGCCCAGAACAGTGAGTCAGTGCAAGGAAAAACCCTGTAAGGATAATCACGGCAGCCAAAAATAACTATCTAGAAAAGGAAGGGAAAGATTAAACAGCAGGAAGCCAAGATAGGAGGTGCAGCATGACCACGCCACTGAGCATTAAAGAAGCCTCAGCGTCACAAGGACACTGAGCAGCCTCGCTGTGTTTGCCCTTTACAGGCATAAGACTCTTGGTCAGAGCCTGTCTGGTGCACAAAGGGTACTTCCTGCATTGGAAAGAACACAGCTCCAGGAATGAGACCCAAAAAGGTGAGTGGAAGAGCTGCCACCCCAAGTCAGGAACATGTGGCATGAAACAGCCCTTTTACCTTATCAGAGGCCTCTGTGGCCTGAGCCGTACCCCAGCTAGGGAATAAAAGTCCATTTCACAGGGAAGTCCCTGCAAATTGCCGTGTTCTGTGCTGCTGACTGACATGCAGAAGAGACCACAAGATAAAGCAGAGGATTTCAAACCTCTGACATGCAGCTGTCAGTAACACTCTCAGAGCTGCATGCTGTTAGTGTGGGTGAGCCCAGGCACACTCACATCACACACAGAATGTTAGTGTGCTGTCACAACAGTCCTAGCTAGGACTCATCCTACTCCTACATTCATTCAGTGCCTGCCTGGCCTGATGCAGAAATCCTCTCAATGGGCGGTTTGGAGGCACATGGCAAATCCAGTTCAGCTTTCCAAATGTGTTCAGGAGATTCCAGAGTGACTGCAGAGCTTCTGAACTGCTCATTTTCCTGGTCTCCTCCGGCTTTGTTCGTATTAGCAGC